GTACAGTAGAATCTCTGGTCACGACCATAATTTGTTCCATAACTTTGGTCGCAACCCAATTTGCTCGTGACCCAAATCTAATTTTGGAAATTTGGCGCTTACAAAAAAAAATGGCTGGTAAGGGGAAATTGCCCCCCCCCCCGAAAAAAAAAAATTGTGAATTTTTTTGTCAGAACCCAATTTGGTCATGGTCAGAGGCATTCGTGACTGTACTGACAAAGAGCCACCTTTGGATTTATATTCTATTCTCTACCTCCTGCATCATTTGTTCTCAAGTCCCCAGGGCATCATAATCCACAGTTAAAAAACCCCAAAGGCCTGGAGAAGAATAGATTGTGAGACATGATGACTGTCTTGAAAGAGCAAAAGACTGCCATGTAAATATATGAGGAGGATCAGAACAAATGGCTTGAAGTTGGAAATCTGCAGATTTTGGTTAAGCTTTAGGGTAAAATTCAGAAGTAAGAAATTGCCAACAATGGAACAGACAGTTTTAGAAGACAATGGGTCCTCTTTTACAGGAAGAACCATTTAAACCAAAGTTCCCCAAACTTTCCACCTTTGTGAATTGGTGGGGGGGGGGATGTTTCCACGCAAGCAGCTGGAAAGCATGCGTACAGCTCTATTTAGGTGGCAGTGCGCATGCACACCTGTCACTCACTTAAATGGCGCATGCACATATTCACCCACTACTTGCATAAGTGAGAATGTGTGTGCATGCTAGCCATTTCTGCAACCCGGTTGCAAACCCCTCAGGTTGGGGGCCCCTGATCTAATCTCCAAGGGATAAATTATATGGATATATGTTCTATGGATATTGTAAATCTAGCAGTGAGCAGGTGTTTACCTCAGATGGCATATGCTTTTATATCTGTAAGAGGTAAAAAACAATCCTTTTGCTATTGGCCTGTTCAGGCTAATTACTAATTGCTCTTCTTCTTCCATTAGTTATTTCACTTGCTAGAATCAGAGGGAACATTGAACTGGGGAAGCATCTTCCATCAGGTTAGCCAAGATCACCAGAAAAAACACCTTCTCTCAGAATTGTAATACACAGATGCCATGATGTTTGAATTTGGTTATCACAGCTGGCTTATGACCACATTTTCTTTCTAAAATATTTTTCTATCCTATTTTTTTCCTCATTTATTTTGTGTATGATATCACCAAATATTGCTATCCTGGTAAAAGATAAAGATAAAAATATTTCCCTCTTATAAAAACCAAGCCATACCTGTTCTCCAGTGAAGTTATACATGGATGCCATGGTTTCCCCATTGTAAATGGATACCTGCACAATGCATATAAATAAAGTTCTGTACCATTGCATATTTGAATGGCTGCTAAAAAGAATAAATCAAATATTTAATACTGCCTTATTTAAATTCCTTACCATGCCCAAAGTTTTTGCTGCTCTTGGGACACCTGACACAAAATCTGAAAACATAAAAGGAATTTTTCATCACCTGTGTAGGTATAATCAATGCCCTTCAGAAAGTTTTCCCCTCTAGTTCATCATTCTTATTTTCACAAAGGCATTAGCTTTTCCCATCTGTTCAATCATATCTGATTCTCAGCATATGCCTGACCAAATCCTTGCTGTTTCCTTGGCAGAGGTTATGGAAGTGGTTTGTCTCCTTCCTAGGTAGGGCTGAGAGAGAGTGACTGACCCAAGACCACCCATCTGGCTTTGTGCCTAAGATGGGGCTAGAACTCACAGTCTCCTGGTTATTAGGCTGGTATTTTAACCACTGTACCAAACTGGCTCTCTATCCATTAGCTACAGTATAAGAAAACTATTTTAACTAGAATGAACAGATTCCTTAAGTACTTATAGATTGGCAAAGATATACAAAACAATAAAGACAAAATATATGATATACTGGCAGTAAGCAATGGTAATAGGAGTAGGAGAATCATGTAAGACCGTGGGAACAAGATGTATAACAAATTCTCCTTACACAGAAATTCCTTTTAAAAATGCTGTCTCCTTTTCCTTTGATTTTGTTTTTCTGGAAGGTTTGAGCCAGTGGCATAGGTCATTTCTAGATAGCTGCACTTTCTTTTTCACTCCTGGGATCTAGTCTGTTTCTTCTGGAAAGTTCCCAGTCTTCAAAAAGCATTTAGAGTCTTTTAGAGAGGTACGGATGCATATTTCCGCAGGTTTGATTCACTCCAATTCACTCAGGGATACAACTGCCTTTTTGGAGTGACTCAATTCCATTTTGCTCAAACAAAGTTGAACTGTAGAATTGTAGAGCTATGGTGCCGCAGTGGCTAGAATGCAGTACTGCAGGCTAACTCACTGCTCACTCCAGGAGTTTGATTCTAAAGTGCTCAAGGTTGACTCAGTCTTCCATCCTTCCGAGGTTGATAAAATGAGGACCCAGATTGGTGGGGGCAATTTGCTGACTCTGTAAACCGCTTAGAGAGGGTGGTAAAGCACTATGAAGTGGTATATAAGTCTAACTGCTATTGATATTACATCCTGAAGGAAATTATCTTATATTGGCATCATTCTCCTGCAGGGCTCCGGGGAAGCTTTCAAAGGTAAGCACCAGTTGTGCTTCCTTCATAGCAATAGAATAGCATTTAGACTTATACACTGCTTCATAGCCCTTTTTGAACGGTTTACAGAGTCAGCATATTGCCCCCAATATGGGTCCTTATTCTATTGATATCGGAAGAATGGAAGGCTAAGTCAATCTTTGAGCCAGTTAGAATCAAACTGCATGCAGTCAGCAGAGTTAGCCTGCAATACTACATTCTAACCACTGCACGACCATGGCTCTTAAAATTATGTGCATCAAGATTATGTGTATCCATAGGGAAAGGAGGGAGGGGAATGATAAATGTGTTTTCACTGCAACACAAATTCTGTCCCTTAGGTACTTGCATGGATTGTAATAAAAACACAAAAAAGTGACTACATTGTGAGATTACATTTTGTCATTACAAAATGAGAATACTTCTGAGAGGCAGAATATATTGAAATGACACTAACAGTCAACAACAATCTTCTATTTTCACAATCTCTAATGAGGCTCAGAAACCTCTTACTACATCTGCAATGAAAGCAGAAAGAATTTTCTCTGATCTTTATTCTTTCCCAGCCCCAAGGAAAAATACAGTAGCTAAAATAATTACACGCAGACATGCAAAAGTTAATACAGATTTCAACAGGTCATCTGGATTATTTATTTCCTAGCACTTCTTCAACCCCCCCCCCCGCCCCGCCCCATGTTCAAAATTCATTAGTTTCTGGACAGTTTGTGCAAATATGAACCAAGACATACCTTCTATGCCATCACCATTGAAATCCCCTACAGCAACTGAATAACCTGTCAAGCATGTAAATGAGAAAATGAGAACTCAAGAATTAATATTAATAATTCAATAATTCATGGAGATACTCTATTTTGAGATGCACCCAAAAACATATTTAGACATCTATTTTAAAATAAACCTGTTCACGGAGCTGTTGAAATCATTCTCACAGTTGACTGATAGGGGGTGCTATTTCTCTTTCAAAATTGGAAAAAAACCGAATATAGGTAATCCTCGACTTACAACCATAACTGAGCCCAAAATTTCTGTTGTTAAGTGGGACATTTGTTAAGAGACATTTGCCCTACTTTATGTCTTTCCTTGCCTCAGTTGTTAAATGAATCACTGCACTTGTTAAGTTAGTAACATGGTTGTTAAGTGAATCTGGCTTCCCCATTGACTTTGCTTGTCAGAAGGACACAAAAGGGGATCACATGACCACATGAGTCAGTTGCCAAGGGTCTGAATTTTGATCACATGACCATGGGGAAACCGCAAAGGTCATAACTGTGAAAAATGGTCGTAAGTCACTTTTTTCAGTGCCGTTGTAACTTGAAACGATCACTAAATGAACTGTTGTAAGTCGAGGACTACCTGTACACGGTTCACTGACAAATGCGCAATAGACATATGCGCACCGACAAAACCGCGACGGATCAAAATAGCTAATTAGTGTTTGACAAAATTGCGCTGACAAATGCGCGATGACAAAATTGCGACAAAACCCTAACCCTAATTTTTTTCAATTTTATTGTCCTTGTCCTTGCGCTTTTGTCGTGGTGAATTTGTCGTCGCGATTTTGACGTTGCGTTTTAATTGGCGCTATTTTGTCGGCGTGCATGTCTATCGCGCAATTGTCGGGTCACGCCTGTACACAAGTGCAGAATTAGAATTCACTACCCAATACAGCTTAAGTATAGACTGCATTTTTAAAATAATTACTTGAAGAGTAAAATTGAAAACTCTCCAGTAAATATGTGCCAGTCATACATTTTTTTTTAAAAAAAATATGGCTATATATAGGACAGTTCATCTTTTGGAAACATCAAAAACAAACATATTTTCACTAATTTCATTGGGAAGCTGCATCCCAGTGAGTGTTAGGATTGGTTTTATCACAAATTTACAACATTTCCTGTTTCAGAGTCAAGTACCCACCCAAATAACTGTCATCGAAACTAGCACTAGCGGACCGCGTTGCTAATTGGTTATCGTATTTGGTGGTGTAGACTTTAGCGCTGTATTTTGACACAATCTCAGCCACTTGATCAGAGATTAGCTGGCCTGGAAAAAAGCAAAAGAGAATATATCTTGAAATAATACAGTTCTGAGCAGATATTTGCAATTCTATAACGTCAGCTTGGAAACTAGTCCTACTGTTGGGGGGGGGGGTAATAGGCTGACTCTGTAAACAGTTTAGAGAAGGCTGTAAAGCACTGCGAAGTGGTATATAAGTCTAAGTGCTATTGCTACTACTAGGTAATTGTGAATAGAACTATAGAGGAAAATCAAACTAAGTCTGAAAATAAAATAATGTTTTGGTTCATTTCAATAAAGAGGTGTGAAGAATTTAACCAAGCGTATCTTTGGCCTGATAAAAGGGGTAAAGATAGCATGATCCTACGTGACTCACTCACAATTAAGTTACGATCTATAAGTCCTTAGCAGAGGTGTTTTTCCAATGAGGCAGGTTTATCAGGGCAAGCTGGTCTACCCAAATATGGGATGGAGCATACTGCTTCCGCTTCCGCCTTCCAGCCCCAATCCAGGAGCCTTCGCAGGCAGTCGCTTCCACAACAAATTACTTTTGTTTAAATTGAAGTTTCAGAAACACAACTAGTCTCTCTCTATTTTTTTGGCGGTAAATTTAACACTCCGTAGCAGAAGGTCTTCTATAGTTCATAGAAGTATACTATAAAGGTAAAAGTTCCCCTCGCACCTATGTGCTAGTCATTCCCGACTCTAGTGGGCGATGCTCATCTCTGTTTCAAAGTTGAAGAGCCAGTGCTGTCCGAAGACATCTCTGTGATCAGGTGGCTGGCATGACTAAACACCGAAGGCGCAAGGAACACTGTTACCTTCCCACCAAACGTGGTTCCTATTTTTTCTACAAGCATTTTTACATGCTTTCAAATTGCTGGGTTGGCAGAAGATGGGACAAGTAATGGGAGCTCACTCTGTTACACAGTGCTAGGGATTCGAACCGCCGACCTTTCTGATCGACAAGCTCAGCGTCTTAGCCACTGAGCCACCGTGTCCCTATGAAGTATACTATAGTTTAGATTTAACAGAGTGACCTGTATATCCATTATTTCAGTACCTTGTTGAGTGGCTCAACAAATGCACTTACACCTAATTCCTAGGCTTGAGTGTCTGGCTAAACCCACAATTAATAGCTGGAAAAACCGACTCGGATTAATCTTCACAACAGTATTCTGTGGTAGAAAAACAGCAATCTTGCAGCATTATAAAGACAAATCATATTCATTGCTGTTTTTGTATCTGGGATCCTAAATTAACAGAAGCATGAGGCATTAAAGCCTAACATGCAGATGTGCATAACGTAATCTCCAAAAATTCCCATGCTGAAAAAAGTCATTTTCAAATTCTGAGCAGAGCAATAACTTAGTTTAATAGTTAACTTTTGCCAAAAAGTAGTCTCTGGATTGCAAAAAAAAACAAAAAACCAGATGACAATTTAATGGAAGTAAAGAGTTTGCTGATAACTATCTGAAGTCTAGTAGTCCAGATAGGGTAATTTGATTAAATTACATATATAAATATGTAATCTGATTAAATGTAAATGGTCATTACTATTTGAAAATTGAGCTATTTCAGTAATGTGTAAACAATATAATCACTGTTTACATATTCTATGCTTAGGCCTCTGCCTGCCACCAGGAAATGTTATTTTATATTAGGATTTCTGTTACATTCAGGTGCCCGAAAAAGATATTTCTGCTTTACAACAGGGAATCCATTAAAGCTATTGCATTTTCCCTTCCTATAGCTGCTTATAGACTTACGAGGATCAGGAACCTCATAGGAGAAAAACAGATAAGAAAGTTCAATAGGAAAAAAGACTAAAAATTCCCACATAACAATTCAGCTACTTCTAACTCACAGTATCTATGGAATTAAAAATGTAATCATTTTTGTTTTACATCAGGCCAAGGTTAAACAAATTAAGTAACCTTCATTTTATTCATCAAACCCCTTGTTTTACCTTGCCAATAAAAGCTTCCAGGTCCTCCAAGTAGAACTCTGTCTTTCTAGACAGGAAAGACAGAGATAATTTATTGTAATATCTAAAAATAAATACTCAGGCTGAGCGGAACTTGTTAGAACATTCAGTGACTGAAAATTGCGCCACTCTGTCTGATGAATGATTTTTGGGGTGGGGTGAGGTGGAGGGTCAGACATGTCTCGAACGTCACATAATTCCCTGCACAGAAAATGTTAGCCAGTCTAACATTAGTATTTTTGTTTTTTTATTTCCCACCATATTGTTAAGTGCATTTATATTTTGTGGTATTCAACTTCCGTGTTTCACATTTCTATACTGTGATTGCTATTTTTGGGGGGGAAATGTTGCATAACACATCTCATTTAAACCTCATTGCTACCCATTGATTGAATAGACACCGTTAGGCAAAGGTATTTTTCCCTCTCAATCTTCTGATTGGGGGAAAAAGATAATAATTCTCACCCACCATATAGAATAGTTAAGACACTAATGGTATGCATTAGGTGCAAAGCTAAGACGTAATTTAGGGGTGTGAACATGAGTTTGCTGAAGCCAAGAGGTGAATGTCCTCTTTTCTATCTTCTTCCAGGAAATATTAGGAGGTGGAAAAAATCAGGTTCTAGGCTTACACCAACTGTGGTCTGTGGCAGCTGTGGCATGTAGAATGATGAAAGCAGGCAGAAAGAGACCATTCGAATGATCAATCAACAAGAGAACCAATCAGCTGCTCAGAATTTAAATATCATTCCAAAGGAACAACCAATCGCGTGACCAAATGACCAAACTGGCACACAAGACATTTATAAGCTAAGCTAAGAAAAACCTGCTGATTATGTTACCAGATCTGGTAACGAAACGTTCAGAAACTAAACTGAAACAAGCTTGGAAAGCAAACCACTATCATAATCTAAAGCCCCCAGCTACAAGTATTTTCTATTATTTCAAAGGGGGAAAAAAGAGTGTTTAGATGCAGACTGCTCCTTTCGTACATGTGTCATGATGTTGCACGCACATTTGAAAGGAATGGAGCTTATGGTGTAATATTGCTTTCATTATTTGGATAAAAGCAGCCAGTCTCTATGGGCGCCTATCCTTGAGGATAAAGTTTAAACAAAGAAATAAAGATTGCACTGGTTTCTGATACTGGCTTATTTTATCAGGCCACATTTTTATTAAATTTAATTTCTGGTTTGAACATTGCACTTTTATTTGTATGGTGTGATAAATAAATAATGGCTTGAACAAGCCTTGTGTGTAGGGACTGTCAAATTTTTCAACGTTCAATTTCCAAACAGGATATTTTGGTTATTTTAATACAATTGAGACATGCTTGGTAAGTAACTACATAAATATAACTTTTTAACATTCTGTTTGTTTCATTTCACTGTTCCAGGCTAACACATAGTTAAGATTGATCACAGATGCATGGAAGCAAAAATCTTTGAAGTGTTCCTCATTATTAGAAACAAGAAACGAACTTGAGCCAAGATAACATTAAGGCTCTTTCACAGAATTCTAAATGTGTAGGAGATGCATCTCAACCAAATAAATTGTTCACTTTAACAGTCCCGATTTCTCAATTAATGCATTTACTATAAGGGAGGAAATAAATTTTCTGTGGTACATATCAAGTGCAGTCCTTTGCGTTGGACAAGGCAAGATGAGATTACAGAAATGACATCCTGCTCTGCTGCTCACTACTTCTGTCCATGTTGGACACATTTTCTGTTACTATATGACAAATGTTTGTACATAGAGGAATATATGTCCATTGCCTCCGATCGTGTATCTCTATGTATCCCTGCATTTTAAATTAAAATTTCAGAATTAAAATACTTGGTGGGGGTTTAAAATATGAAACCAAAGAGAATTTTTTAAACCGAGTTCTCATCTAAATGTAAAGGAACAAGATACAGTAAAGGATTAGCATATTTCTTTTGTTTGTTTTTAACCATTTATTTTCTTTGTATATTTTCTCCCATGCTATCCTGGACAAAGTAAATAATTTCAGCTAGGCCAATTTCATCAAAAAAGGCAAGATGAGGGCATGGCTGTGCCATTAAAGCCCCACCTTTTACACATGCATGCAATATCAATACAGCAGTGACGTGTGGTGAGGTTTATGGCTGGTGAGGCAAAAAGAAAGAAAGTGGCTTTTAGCCGCCCCGCCTCTATGTCAGACATGGAGGCGTCCTGCTGTTTTACAATCACAGAGGATTTCAACTCTCTCTTGCCTGCCATCATGAAAATGTAAAAATATAAAAGGAAAAAGGCAAGAGCTGTTGAGGTCAGGCTGGTTTAGCTGCTGCCAGAGTCCCCAATGGATGACTCTGCTTAACTGTTTAAAAAAGCCTCTAAAAAAACCGCCCTCTACAAAAGGAGGCGAGAGAACCAAGTGCCTCATCTACATAAGGAATTTTTCGGCTTTTAATCCTTGCTTAACTCTGCTCAAATGATCATAAAGAGGCACGTGGTTCTCCCGCCTCCTCCTGTAGAGGGCACTTTTTTAGAGGCTTTTTTAAACAGTTAAGCACTAAGCAGAGTCATCCACTGGGACTCTGGCAGCAACTACCTCAGCCTTTTTCCTTTTACATTTTTTTTTCTTTTCATAATGACAGTGGTGACGCTCTGCCTCCCCTGCCTCCCCTGACTGCACGTCACTGCAATACAGGTACAAAAAGGTCACAGGAGTGAAACCATAAGATGTTGCTTGTAAAGTTCCCTCTGGTCGACTTCCCTGAAGAGTTGGGTTTTACAGACACTTTGCCCTCTGCTGTGGAGTTATGAGATAGAAGGAAACATGCAGAAATAACTTTCATACCTCAGTAAAATCAATGCTGAATCCACCTTGACAAAAGCCCTGTCCTTCAGCGTCAGTACTTGCTAAGGCAATAAGAAACAATAGAAACGATTGTAAAGTTGTGTAATACAAAATTTCTACGCAAAATGAGGAAAGCTGGTGTGCAAACTGAAGAGTCTATGAGAGTTGCTTGCTGTAATTTATTGTAGGAAAACTCAGCTCTGACAGGAAATATCCTTGGAGGCTATGGCTGTTCTGGATAGCTTCATATTTAAAAGTTGCTAGGGTCTTCTTACTCTACCTTCTTTGAAACCTCTTTTGTTTTTCCATTCCATTTCCCCACATCACTATGAGTAGCCCATAATTCATTCATTCTTATCCCATCCCTATTTTTTAATCCATAAGTACTTCTTAAGGGGGAAAAGATGATGAGAGGCAGTATTCGGTCCTGCAATTCCACACTTAAATTTTTAGATGATGCAGGCCAATTACAAGGTAATCACTTCACCAGCTGCTTTTGAGAATGCATTTAAGTGACAAGTAGCCTTGCACTTCCTACAGCTCGGACAAAACTACACTGTTGGCAACCTGCTAGGAGAAGCATGTATTCTGCTCTGCCTGACAGCCACATTTCTGAGGCTGAACTCAGGCACCGGAAGCAAAATTGTTAACAACTATCCTTCTGATATCAGTTGACAGGACTTCATAGGGCTTTGTCAATCCTACATTGTGCAGGTGTGCAGATCTACCAACATATTGAACAAATGAGAGAAGGGTTTGTTCTGAATTATTACAAAGAACATTGGCTTAAAATACTGCCTGTTTCAAAATATAAATGGGAAAGATAAACATTGCTGTAGTGACATGTTGCTCTTCTATATTTAGAGCCAAGGTGGTGCAGTGGTTAAATGCAGCACTGCAGGCTACTGCTAGATCAGCAGGTCAGCGGTTCAAATCTCACCGGCTCAGGGTTGACTCAGCCTTCCATCCTTCCGAGGTGGGTAAAATGAGGACCCAGATTGTTGGGGGCAATATGCTGACTCTCTGTAAACCGCTTAGAGAGGCCTGAAAGGCCTATGAAGCGGTATATAAGTCTACTGCTATTGCTATTGCTGCTATTACAACACAGTTATGGCTAGACATAGCAATGAAATGCAGTTTGCACTAAAACAGGAAAAGGGATTCCTCTGCAGATTCCTTGTAGCCTAGGAGAGAGTCAAGAAGCTTTTTATGACATGCTTAATCCTCTAACTACAGAGCTTCAGAAAAGAAATATTAACAATCTTTTCATTTGTATGTTCTTGTGATCTTGTTTCTTTTAGTATTGCAGATATTGGCTGGGAGAGATGTTAAGCCAACTGCAAAATGGTTCCCTGAATTATTTTGAATCCTAGCCGGAATGGGCCACAGAAGCTGCCGTTCATACGTAATTTGGAATTGCTGCATGATTTCCCACAAATCTCCTAACAAATCAGTTTACTCCTGCTGAGTCAGAAAAAGGGATCAATTCAGGGGCAAGTACGAAAGGATAAAGCTCCCATTATGATGTCACAATCTGGGTTTTTATCATTTTGGTATCATCATGGTTAGATACAGACTTGTGAAATCATAGAGATTGTGGCCAGGGGTGGATGGGACAGAACAAGTAAATCCAAGTCATCATACTCTGATTACCCTCTTCCATTCATTTCCAGATTCAAATCTTCATAGTGTTTTCTATGAAATCCAACTCTAGAGAAAGTGCTGAAAAGATAGATTTGCCTTCTCTCCATTGTTTTCTCTGTTAAGGATCCACCCAAATGATTGTAGAGAGATGAAGGAACAATACAGGAAATATGGGTGTTTAAGGCACATTCCTTTAAACAATGCATGAAATATGATGGTACATAGAAAACAGAATTTGTGCCGTAATTGTAACAACAACACATTGTCTACATACTTGACCTGCAAGGAGCATATTCAACAGCTTTAGACCCATCAAAAAGATAACAAGTTCCCACAGGTTCCCTCTGTGCTTTCTGTTCAGTTCTCCAGTGATATAAAGGAGCACATGCCTGCAGATGAAGTATTTAGAAAGCTTTTTAAAAAGGACAGTGGCCATGGGAAAAATCAAGGGAAAATAATGGTTATGAACAAACAGCTATGGAAAACACAGAAAAACACTAATGTGCTGATGGTAAGTCTATTCAACTGAATACTGTTTACCTACTGGATGCACTTTTCAAAGAAGACACATTATGTGCCTTTCAGAACAATTGGGCTGAAGATTCCCCCCCCCAAAAAAAAACATATTAAATTTGCAAGGAGCCCTACTATGAGTTTGCTGATATTAAGTGGGAGGAGTTGATCTGCTGTATTTTACAATTCAGTTAAGTAGTGGTTTCATGCATGTGCTCAAATGAGCCAAGAAAATTCAGGGGGGAAGAGTTTGTACATCAATTTTATGCTGATGTGCAATGAAGCCGAGAGAATCTCCATGAGGTATCACTTGCTCTTGAGCCCACGTAATTGAGTTACAGTTGACAGAACTAGGATTTCAATACAAACATAGCCAACCCTTTATGCATACTGACTTGAAAATTCTGGGAGTTGAAGTCCACCGATCTTAAAGCTGCTGAAGTTGAGAAACACTGATTTAGAAATTTCATATTCTGTTTTCAAAGTCCTAAATATGATTGCTACAGTATTCAGTGAACTAGTCACATAATGCGTTTTTTTCTCTCTCTCTCCACTGACTGCCAAACTATCCCTGGACCCAATTTAAATTTAAAATGCTGTTTTAAAATCAATTACAGCTCTAATTGATTTGGCCCTGATTAATTGACAAAGCTATATTTATCTACTGGATGTTTATGGCTCTGATCAAAAAGTGACCTGTAAGGAAGAACCTTTCATATCCTTTTCAGAATTTATATTTGGATATTGTAAAGTGATTCATTTTGGCACAGAAATTGAATATTTATTTAGTCCTTTAAGCATGTTATGATGCAGAACTTTTAGATTAGACAGTAGTTTATTTTGTTGTGGATTTTTTTTTAATGTAATGGGCTGTGAGGTTTTTTGCTGCTAGATTTGTTTTTATTTGATCATATGTTTTAGCTTTTAAAACATATATTCATGTTCCAAAAATGTTTTTATTGCTTGTATTTTATGCCTCATGTTATGCAGTCATGGTAGTGGTATGTGACAAGCCTTAAAATGAAGACTTACCAAAATTTTATTTTCTTTAGATCTCACAGATGCTCCAAACCATTGATGTGATTTGAATTCCAAAAGATCATCTACAGCAAATTCTCTGTTGCCTAGAAGACAAAATATTTAGACAGAATTCTGTGAACATGACCTTGGAATGTGACAACATCGTAACTTTTTAATGAATATCAAACTCTCTGAAGTGATAACAGAAGTATACACACATATGACTAGTTTTTCCCCTCTTGTGACAAGTTTATAACCTCAAAGTTGAGCTTGTGAACTGATGCTACTGAAAGATCCTGCAACTGAGATAATGTGAAATTGTAAAGGTTGTATCTGAAAAGACCAATCTAGAATGATTCATGCACAAAGAGCACATATTATTCAAAAGCAATATTAGCCATTATCAGCCTGCTTGCTAGCAAAGGCCTGAATGCTGTTTCATCACAAACTCTGAGATACATTCCTCTGAGACTTGATAAGAGTCAAGGTCCATTAGAAAATGACTGAAATACAAATATTCTCCTCATAAATTTAAAACAATGTGACTATGCAATATGTTCATAAACTGAAATTGATTTTTTTCCTTCCTTCCTTCCTTCCTTCCTTCCTTCCTTCCTTCCTTCCTTCCTTCCTCCCTCCCTCCCTCCCTCCCTCCCTTACAGAAAAATATTACTAAAGGAATGCCAGGATAGAAAAATCAGGCCTTCTAACTACAGAGGGTCCATAGAATTTAAGATATTTAACTGTGAATGGGTAATCTTCATTTCAGTGCACTCTCATCCATTGAAGATTGCTAAGTAAGGTATACATTTCACAAATGAATAAAGGAATCAATTCTGCAATTGTCATGCAAGGGCTATTGTGTATTACAAATATTTATTATTACAGTCAAAGACCATTACAATTAAAGCTACTCAAAGAGTTACAATTTCTAGAATAAAATAATAACAAATAAAATCTATGTTGAAGTCATAATTTAGCAGCCCATACAATTTCTAGAATAAAATAATAACAAATAAAATCTATGTTGAAGTCATAATTTGGCAGCCCATCTACCAATTGCACATAAACAAGAACACGCACTAAGCTATAATGTAATATTAATCCTTAAATTGTGAAGGCCTATAGGCTCTTGCTTATGGTCGCTTGACCTAGAAAAAACGTTGGGACCCCTCAGAAAACCTATGCAACAAATATGCAAAACACTGTGGATCAAATTGCTTGTATTCATAACAAATATTGGACACAGTTTTTAATATACTATATATGGTATCCAATAGACCCTTGAGTCCAGATTTCGGTTTATGTGGCCTGAAGGCATGGAAAAGATACTCTCTGCTTTATCCCATCCTTGCTTAACCTCTATAATTCCATTCTGGTTTCACCTATGGCACCAGCTTCAGCCTAGTTGGTAGGAGAATTGCTTTTATTACTCAAGGTCAAGGAGATGGTTGTGGCTTTTTGAGGTGCTGTTCTGCAGATAATCAGATATGAGACTCCATGAAGTTGGTGTCTAGGAAATAGAAGGGTTTGCTGTTACTGTATTGGCTTTGCTGCTGCCTGGTGACTTTCTGTCTTGAGCCCTGTTTCAATACCTTGGTTTGAAGATATGCTGAGGAGTGTCACAAGGCAACCTTCTGCCTTCAGTGCTATTTAATAATCATATGGAATCATTGGGATGATCATTAAGGACCTCGGAGCTATGTATCAATAATTTTGATTTTTTTTTAAAATAAAGATATAGAAAATTTAGGTGGTTACCCATCTTAAATAAGTAATTCTGTGTTGGCAACAACCAATACATGAGAGTAAAACAATGTGATACAAGCCTACCAAAAAAAAACCCAATTAAAATAATAATAATTAAGATAACTAAAGAACTGCATATAACTTACTAGAAGACACAGACTGGTCTTTACTACCATCATGACCCTAAATCCAGAACTATAATTAAGAAATTGAAATATTTCTTTCGAAGTTTAGATGATAGCAGAGCAAGAGTAGCAACCTGATTGCTAACAGTTATAAACAGATCTGCAAGAAAGAGTTCAATTGTCCAAGCCCTTGAGTTTACCTACCAACAATAATTTCACTGTGATTTCACTGTAAATGGGACAATGGAGAAAGAAATTAGTTTAATAGGTAATTCCTAAGTTTGGGTGTTGTTGTTGATTCTTCATTGTCCTTGGAAACCCAAATCACCGGCGTGATTAGGAGTTCCTATTGCAACTTTCAGATGGCATAACATTACACACAGTCTTTCCTAACTGCAGCTCTTCCTGTGCTGGTAACCCTGAAGACAGTTCTTGTTGCCAATTAGCTACTGAGCCCAGTTCAAGGTTTTGGTTATGACATATAAAGCTGTAAACTATTTAGGAGCAGGACAGTATCAGATCACCTTTGTCCTTATAGATCTGGCCAATTACTGACATCATCAGGTAGGTCCTGTTATGCACACCAGTGCCCACTGAATATCATCTGTAAATAACTGTAGACAGGTGTTCTCTGAGATGGTGCATGCACGTTAAAAGCCATTTCCCCGATAATTAGGAAGTACCTATTAATTTCATTTCTTCAGCGTAACTGCTCAATGCAAGCCACAATGATGCTACATGAATGACATAATCACGCTAAAGACGCAGACAGAAGGAAAGAAAGAAAGGTGGAAATGGAATTTATGTAACAAATGTTAGCAAGGTCAAAATGTGAAAAGATAATTCAACATTTGAATTATGTTTGGGAGTAATAGTAAACATAGGATAGGCAGAAAAGTAGATGACAAAACTGTCTATTTTAGACATAGGAGGGCTATCAGCAAAAAGTGACTTAGATTCAGCAACTGTCTTAGAATAATCAAGACTTCTCAAACTGAACCCGTCTTGCTTTTAAACAGTGTCTGACAATCAATTTATCAGCCATTCCTGAAATTGGTATAAGCTGACGCAGGCCACACTATTTTTAAAAACCTTCAAATAATTCTATATTTATAACACTTCAAAAATGCAGACTGGAACAAGAAATCCATATAAAGTTTAGTACAGATGCCCTAATACATGAAGTCTACAGCAGAGAAACTCTTTGTCTACCAGACTGATTAAGCCTGATAGCAAGTGAGGAAGCAAAACTTAGGCACTAGAGAAATCCACCTGTATAGAGAAATTCTTTATATTTTTCAGAATTTTAGAGTAAGAAGTAAGTCTTTAAACTACTGGAAACAATCTGACAGCTAGTGAAACCGATGTCCTGTCAACATAATACATTTTGAATACCTGGTTTTGATATAACTAGAACTTATGTAACGGAGCTAGTTATATAACATCAGGACACTCTACATCAGGAGTGTCAAACTCACAACGTCACTTTGTTGTCATGTTTTTCCCATTCACTAAACTTGGGGGAAGAACGTGACCAACATGTGACACATCTGGCTCGCGGGCCGCGAGTTTGATACCCCTGCTCGACATAAACAGCTTTATTCTTTAATTATACTGGTTAAAGACACCCAATTTTCCTGCTATCACATGCTTCTCCACTGATTAGAGCATATGTTCAATCCATATTTCTATGTGATGAGGCTTAATCTTCAGTTTGTGTCCACTCATTCATTTCCAAACTGCTTTAAGAACCTACTAAGCATTTCCATTTCCTCTTTGTGACTAGATAATGAAAAACATACATCAAGCTATGTATTTATCTTCAAGCTGATGGCATTTCAGCCCCATTTGCGGAGATCTTCTTTTGTGGATTCATGTTGATGCTAAAAGGCAAGAAAGCCCAAGATGAAACCTTGAGGCATTTCATAATCATCCAATCATAAACAAGTCACAAGGAGATCATAGTAGATGGTATTCCAAACTCGGGAAAAGACCAAAAGAACTAAAAATATTTATAATCTATCTCCTGAAGTAAATAATCTACTTCAGGGGTGCCAAACTCATGTCGTGATGGTGTCGTCACGTGACGTATCAGGACTTTCCCCCCTTTGCTAAACTGGGTGGGGGCCAGCACGTGACACATCCAGCCTGCGGGCCACGGGTTTGACACCCCTAATCCACTGAGGCAATCACCAAAGCTTCTGTCTGAAAGTTACCCCTCAGGAAACTGATTAAAATAGTCAAGGTCGTTCAAGATTGCTCAGAGATCTTACTGCCCAATCTTTAACTTTACTAAAAATGGCCAATTTGTTAATAGTGCATGACTCAAGCTTTGCTCACTCATCTCTAAGAGCCAATGAGTTCACTGAAATATCCCCAAGTTTTATATTATCTATTCACTAACTTCCTTTAGAAAGCAACTCAGAGGACCTCTAAGATTATACCAGCACAGCTAAACAATGCTCTCATTAAGTAAGCATAGACGGTAATGATTAAAAGTCCTCTCTCCTGTGAGTCAGCAGCTCCTGTGTTAACTTGGTAGACTGCTGGCAATGAATCTAAACTTCTTTGTATGCTAACCATCTTGTAAGGAAATCTATGCCTCTTTAGGCATATTATTGCTTCCTGTTGGGGAAATCCCAAAGTAATGGCTATTTCTGCCAGAAGTCAAAGCAAATAACAGCTGATCAGTGGTGAAATCCTCTGAAGTCTGATTCCGGTTTGGTGAGACTGCTACCCAGCGTGCGCCTGTGCACCTGAGGCACGCCCCTGCAGCACTAAAAAAGGAGGTAAGTAGAACAAAGAGAGGGGGAATCCGCTGTACCATATGATTAAGATTAGCTAGAAAGCAGGAAATCTAGCAATTCTAGCTAATATAAATTGCGTGTCACTGCTGATCATTGGAAATACTGGTTCGCACGCACCGGTAGCATTTTTTACTACCAGTTGGGGCGAACCAGTCCGAACCGGTAGCATTTCACCCCTGCAGCTGATTTAAAATCTTATAAGTAGTTCATACTCATAGTATAGGACAGTTGAAATTCTACCACTTACCGTATTTTTCAGCGTATAAGACGGACCAAGATTTTGAAGAGGCAAATTTTTTAAAAAAGGGTTTGCACTCTGCAGACCTCCCAAAAATGGCTCATTTTTCATGAAAATTGGCCTGTTTTTTGTCAAAAAAAGGGCATGCATAGCCTTTAGGAGGCCTATAGAGTGCTCCTAGAGGCTAGGGGGGCAGAAAGAGGCTATTTTTCACTCATTTCTGCCCTCCCCAGCCCCCAGGAGCACTCTGGAAGCCTCTTAAAGGCTTTGCACGACAGTTTTAGTGAAGGGGGTGGGGTTCGGGAGGCAAAAAATGCTGTATTCAGTCTAGAAGATGCACCCAGATTTTCAGCCTCTTTGTTGAGGGGAAAAGGTGCATCTTATACTCTGAAAAATACGGTAATTTTCTGCATTGTCAATTGTGAAAAATTTCTGGTAAGACACACAATTGCATTCTTATTATGGGTTACCATAAGGGTCTGAGTTTGAAATCCAAACATAAATAAACATCCTAAGCCTCCTGCATTTTAAGACTTCCACAACAGGAAGTCTCATACACAGAATTTTGGCAACTTGATCAGAGGGATTTCAGAAAGTCACTCTGACTTAAGTGTGTTCTCAATTAGCAGAGATCCACAACTAGTTGCAAACAGTTACAAATTCACATGCTGTCATTGCCACATCAGTTAATCTTTGAGAGTCCATGCTTTTCTTAAGGCTCATTTCTCCATAAGTGTAAGAACAGGTAGTCCCTGACTTATAACAGTTCATTTAGTGACTGTTCAAAGTTACAATGGCACTTTAAAAATGACAATTTTCACAATTATGACTATTGCAGCATCCCCATGCCTGGCAACTGATTCATATTTATGACGGTTGTAGTGATCTTGTTTTGTGATCTTCTGACAAGCAATGTCAATGGGATTCATTTAACAACAGTGTTATTAACTTTACAATAGCAGGGATTCATTTAACAACGAAATGAAAAGTCATAAAATGGGGCAAAATTTTTAGCAACAAAAAATTTGTGTTCAACTGTGGTCATAAGTTGAGGATGACCTGTATTTAAAAAATAACTTCAAAAATTGGGTTTAATTTATCTCTAAATCGAGTAACATTTATATATATATACATATATATACATATATATATACATACATATATATATATATATATATATATATATATATATATA